ATGAGAACAGATTCATACATTTGTACTGTTAATGTATGTGCAGTGGTTGCAGTCAGAGGGGGGGAGGAGGTTCAGTCCGGGAGGCCACTTTAGGGTGCTGAGATAAACCTCCTCCTCACTCATCACACACATGCTGTCTCCATTTGCACAACAGGGGAGTAGAGCAACCACTGCAAAAAAACACAACAGGAAGTCTCCAACAGACCCAGCTATCTCCCTGTAGACACCCAGGCCAAGCCAGATGTTCTTCCTCTTTCCCTCGTCTCTCTTGCTTGTCTCTTATGACCCCTCCTCCTCCCTCTCCTCCTCCTTCATCTCTATTTTTCTTTGCCTCCTCCCTTCCTTCTTCCACACTGAGGATGTTTCACCGAGTCCCTCGGTCAGCTGAGTCACGGAGGCAACTCTTTTAATCGGCTCCACATGTGCGCTGTGCCCCGATTTGGTGGCCTTGCAGCAATCGGCCCCGGCCTCAGGGCCAATCACAGAGCTCCCCGACGGGGCTCACAGTGCGCCATTCCCCGCCGCATTTTCTGTCTTCGGTTTCCCCTCCAGCCCACGTGATATCATGCTGCCAAATGTGAGTGTTTTGAGCCCAAATGGCTGCTGTGTTTAAAAACGGGGCGGTGAAAACATTTTCCCTTTGCCCCGTTTCCACACTGGAGACGGCAGATTTAATCTCCTGATCTTAAGAAGTGAAAAAAGAAGCGTTTCCGCAGGAATTCTATGGATAAACCTACTATGATAAAATATTAACAAGCCGGAGCAGTGATAGAAACTGAACCAAGGCCCATCAAAATGTTTAACTTATGAAGCCAAGAGGCTGTGGATGAAAAATGAATGTCTCGCAGACCAGAATATATTTGCTAGATACTGACATGAGATCAGTTTATCAATCTGGACATGGGAAATTATTCTACACCGAGAGTCAGTTGTGTTATTATTCTAAATAAATTTCTAACATTTTTCTGTGTCGAATCAAGCCAATGAAAACTGGCAACAACATTGAATGTGTTTCAATAGTGTGCAGCACCGATTACCTGACACAAGCGCATACATTGGATGTATTCTCGCTTTCGTACATTTACATTCACAACAAAGCGTGTGTGTGTGTGTGTGTGTGTGTGTGTGTGTGTGAGAGAGAGAGAGAGATTCAGCTGCAGCCTTTGACAGGAAGGAAGAAATTCTGCTGAATGTTGTGAAAATCTCTCTCAGGCCCTCGGTCTGTATGCTGATGGAAAAAACAAAGGCACAAATAAAGCACACTCTCTCTTTCCAGTCAGTTGAGATCAAATCTATTTTATAACCAGAATCTTTCTTTAATCATGAAACTATTCTTAGACAACATCTTTCACATGTCGACTGCATTATGGTGTTGCAGTCAGCGGGTTGGCGGTGATAACTATGAATCCCTCTGTTGTGGGTGAACTGGGACACAGGAAGCACACCAGAGCGATACATACTTCCCGAGAACATTTGGGTTTTGGAACCACTTTCATCCGTTTTGCAGCCAATGTTGACAACAGTGCAGCTCGATTCGTTCATATTTGATATTCCTGCAAGCGGTCACCAACAAAAAGGAGAAAATTAAGCTTAGCATGACGACTGGAAACAGTGGGCAATAACTAGCCTGGCTCACTCCAAAAGTACAATTCCTGGAGTCTTTTTGTCGAGACTGGTTACTAGTCACTACACTCGGACAAGAAATAGTCCAGCACCCCCCCACAAATAGTCATTAATTAGAGAGGGGCTGGTAGGAGCAAGGGCAGCTATTTACCCTGCTTCCAGTATTCATGCTAAGCTAAGCTAAGCGCCTGCTGGCTATAGCTTCATGTCCAGCGCAAAGACACAAATGTGGTATCAATCTTCTGATCCAACATATTTCCAAAAATGTCAAGTCATACACCTTATTAAAGTTTTTTTTTTGTTATCTACACTTAGCGATGTTCGGTTTTAGTCACGACTTTATTCATGAATCAACCACAGTTTTGAGGGTTGGAGACTTCTGTGTGTTTGTCAGAGAGAGAAAGAGAGCGCCCTGGATTGAAGGAGGGAGATGACCAAATGCTTTCAGTACACACACACACACACACACACACACACACAATCCAATGCTCTCCTCTGTGAAACACGCAGTGGGAGGGGGAGAGCAGATGGACACACACAAGGGCTGGGAAGTGAGAAGCATATTACCTCTTGTCTTGTGCAAACACACACACACACACACACACTGAGAAAATAATGAAAATAAATGTTCCTGTATTCTGACACCAACACACTCTCCCGCTGTCTTTCATTTTGATCAAACTGCACACACAAACACACAGCATGTATCTCCAGTGGGTTTACCTAATCGCACGTGGTCTGACATAGCCTTGCTGTATCCACAATGTCCCCCATTCACTTTCTCTTGAATGAGGGTGTGGCTCCCCAGCCTCTTGGAAAATGGCGGTCACGTGACTGAGCTGTGGGGGGTGTGGGGCGTGGCCAGGGGGGAGCAGCAGCAATGCTGCCTCACCAGCTGGAGCTGTGATTGAGAGAGGAAAGGGAGCGCAGGAGAGGAAGAGAGAAAGGAGAAGGAGAGGAAAAGGGTTGGGTGAGTTGTTGATTTTCATGTTTGCCGTGCGCTTTCCTGTCTTACAAGCAGAGCTGCGAATGATTTTGGCGGGGAGGAGATAAAGAGGGAGGGGGGAAGGGGAGAGAAACAGAAGAGGTGATCTCGCGCTCTGAGGCCGTTGGTGTCAAAGTCAGTTAGCCAGGTGTCTCGTGTATGCTGTGTGAAGTTTTGAGGCCATGAGGTTGAGTGTGTTTCTGGCAGGAGATCTGTAGAAAACCTTTTATACCATTTCTTTTATTTTTTTCTCTCTCTATCCTTTCCCATTGTTCAGTCGTTGGGAAGAGTTTTTTTTTTTTGGGGGGGGGGGTCAACACAACCACTCTTAAGTCTCCTCCCCCCTCCCTCCTTTTCTTTCCCCCTTCCCTTACCCATTGTGTCTTCAACTCTGGAGCACGCATGGCTAATCAATCGGCCATAATGGGACGGAGTGTTGGCCAATCAGGATAGCCCGCCATCACTCCTTAAGGTCTCAGGTCTCCGGGTCTCTCTCTGGTCATGTTTTCTCCTTCAGCGTCACATCAGACGGAGTTTTCCAGCCCTCACTTTGATCCGGTGCAGTGGATTAGCCAGGCACTGATGGAGCCAAGCTGTTTTGACATGATTTTAGTTTTGACAATCCCCCAGTGTCTGCCTCTCCGTGCGGAGTTTGATGCCAAGTTCAAGGAGAGTTGAGGAGTCTTGTTTTCAGTTTGGGTCTTTCTCTCCCACAGGGGAATAATAAGAACTGCTCTCATGCTCTTAACTCTTGTCAGTTGCTTCTGCTGGGATGGAAATTAGGTTGGCCAGGTTAGCTTTAATCTTCATTTTCCTCACATGGTCTTCTTTTACCCAGTTTGCATTGCGGTGGCTGAATAGCTGCTTTGTTGGATGCTGCAGCCAGAAGACCCAGTGAAGTCTTGGCTAAAGTAACTTTATCAGACATGTTGTGGACGTACTCGCTTTGCACCTACCAGCCACCTTGCATCTTCAAAAAACACACTTGGGGTGCTTCCATCAAGTCCCCGCAGCAGCGTCCAGCAGAGCATTAATGAATTAAGAAATGAATTTCCGTATTTATTTTCCCCGACAGTAGTCGCCCTGCAGTGTCAGTGTGCTGGAGTTTAGCACACACTACATACACTATACCAGAAGAATTCCCTCATGCTGCCTCATATCTGATTTACATAAAGCATTATTACAATATGCTTCACAATAGGTGCCAGTTAAAACCACTCAGCCATTGTTTGCGTGTTGCTAATCAGATTAGCTCGTTGATTATGAGTAATTCAATCACCGAAAGATAAACACTTCATTAGGATTGTTTGGGACCAGCGGCGTGAAATAAATTCAAGTTTGTTTTTTCTCCTCTTTCTGTCATTGAATGCTTGATAACCTATCGGTCCAGTCCTGATATCATTTTCATGAAATCTTGACTGCGAAAAGAGATTGTTGTGCCGCGGGTGCAAAGTTTTCAAACCCGCTTCTTCAAAGGGAAATCCACCCCTGCGTGGATTGAACCTGTTGCTGTCGTTCAGTACACTTCCCCCCCCCGAAAGAATTTGCCCTGAAGGCAGCGGCGTTGAGAGGAGGAGAGGCGTGAACATGTTTGACAGTAAACATCCAGACTGTCTGTAAATATCCGTCCCCACATCGCAGTATGTCTTCATCGTCCTCCGGCTGATTGAATCCATGTGTATGTAATCTCATGTGGTCTTCACTTCCTGTTCCCGTCAGCGAGTGAAGAATGTAGTTCTCATGCAATGTCGCCCGTTTTGGTTTCAACTCATCAGCACATTGAAGTAGACGATGACTAGAAAGCGACCTTTTTGTCAAATACAGAAGTTGGTCAGACACCTCTGGCACTGTGTATCACTCTAGCTGCCCACAGTGGGAGGGTGTTTTTTTTCTGTTCTACATATATGCCGCAGAGGGGAGGAAGTCATACGTGTCACATCCTGTTGGAGGGGACAGGTTGTGGGCCTGCCAGCTCTGGGGGAGGTGGAGGGGAGAGGTTGGGAAATGCCAGTCTGTGGTGTCCTCAACTGCAGTGCTGTGGCAGTATTATGCCTCGAGCAAGGCATTGTGGGTCGTTCGTCACAGCGTCTTTTGGTTCTGGGACGATAATGTGAAGTTACAGAAATTGGTCTCTGGCTTGCACAAACACGGTTATTTACTTTACACTCGGTTGTTTGTTCCTCAGAAAGAGAACTTTCATAGTTTGTCGCTCTTGCATCCTCTGCTCCTCTTCGCGGTGCGATTTGTACACAGGAAAGGAAAATGGTGATCTGACAAAGAGACCTAAATAGCGGCGCATCTAAGGACAACTTAGTGGTGCTACTGTGAGGAGAAAATAACCAACAACTTCAAGAGTAGAAGTTGGCTCTGAACAGCGCGACACTTCTCATTTCTTTTTCATTAAGCGGCGTCCACCGCTGAACCATTGGAACCAGCCGGACCCCGCTTCATACTTGATGGTTGTGTGATTTGCTGCACCGAGGGTTTGTGCTTGGTACCCTGTAGTTCCTCTGCTGCAGCTGTGGATGGGTCTGCGGCTGGACTCTCCCGTTTCCCTAACCTCGTTTCTCAGAAATGTTACACGTGTGGTCGGTTAGCCGACAGTCCTGAGAGCCATCCTGAACAGCAGGCTCTTATAGTTGTACTCGGCACTTCAATGACCGCTCCCGCTGTGTTGGGCTTTGCTTTCCTGCACTCTCAGTCTCTGCTGACAGCTATCGATTCAAACCGTGCTCACTCGTGTTGTTTTTTTTCTTTTGCCCAGTACTGTTTTTGTAGCATTTATCTCATCTCTCCCCGGCCATGCCCTTTACCTCAATGACCCCTCCCTCCACAGCTCTCTCTCTCTTCCTCTCTTCTCACTCTTCCAGTCTTTTTTTTAAGGCTCTTTGGGACAGGTCATTATCAACACCACCAGAAGAGAGCTGTATTTCAACACCGAGCAGGCACCATCTGCTTCGCTCCGCGTTGAGGGCCAGGGGTCGCATTCTCAGTGGGCCGACGTGAGTGACGAGGCTGAAAGATGATGTGGGCCAGTAGCATTCTTCAGACCTTTTTTTTGTGCCGCCGTCATCGACCTCACCGAACCTCATCGTCTTACACTGCGGCGGGGAGAAACACGTCTTTTTTTAAAAACCGCAGCATTCCTTTGGTTTCTAAGTACGGATGGGGGACTGAGTGAGAGGGATTTCCCCTTAGATGTTAATGACAGCCCAGTACGACCCTCCTCCATCCTCCCAGCCCCCTTATGTCGACCTCCCTCTGTCACCTACCTACTGTAAACACACCGCGTCGTCTCCCTCAAACACATTGCTGCATTAAGCTAGTGGCCTCTGCCCCCTTTTTTAAAAATGTGCATACACTTGGACTTGTTTTTTTTTTTTAAACATGCTTCAGAGTTGTGGTTGGCCCAATAACGGATCATTAAAACAGTAGACATAATATTAACGCTTCTTGGAGAGGGGAAAGGAAATTTTAAGCCGGCAGAGTAAATCTCATTTGCAAGCGCTGCCACAATATAGTATCATGTGTTTAAGGTTCCTGTGTTTGGCCGATGCTGTCATCGTTTTGACTGTACAACCCCGACATGAATACTTTCGCTCTTCTTTGACGAATGCACCTGAACGATCACCTGATTTGTCCACGGATGAGTCATGTTTTGTGTTTCTCCGAAGACATGCACACCAAAGGGCGATTGCCACGTCTCAATATACGGGAGCTGACAAATGCTGCTGCTTGGCGTCAAACCCAATATGGGCCTCCTGAAGCAGTGCTTGCACTTATGATTGCTTCAAAGTTGTTGTCTATGAAGCTTTTACATATTTTGGTCAAGTGTCTCCAAGTTAAAAAAAGAAGAGAATACTCTTACTAATACCAGTACCTTTAAAGTACTACTGATAGCAATAGAGTACTCAGTTCGATACCCATCATGTGAATGGAAGCTGTGTGAGTTACTGCTGTGAATAGCAGCCCACGGGGGCGGGATGGTGTGGACGCTTAAGCATAGTGTGCACCCCCTTGTTCCCTCTGGAGAAGTTTCTGTTCTACTTGGTACTGGGTTATTTTGGTCAATACCTTAAAGGTATCGATACCCAGCCCTAGTGCCTCCCCACGTTCAGTTTCAGCATTGGGGTATTTTTTTTAAAGTCTGCAAAGCCTGTATATCAAAATGTTAAAAGAAAAAAACTTACTGACATGACTTGGATATCAGGAGTCTGTTTTTATGACTGATGTTGTATTTCTAAATAGAGCTGTTCCTGTGAAACACATACGTATTGCTTTTGGCATCTGAACCTTTATTTCAGTAGATTACAGCTAGATATGCACTGTGGGTTTAAGCCATCTATTCACTCTGCATAACAGATTGTGTGTCTTACTGTCACAGTTGGGGGTAAGTTCCATTAGTTGGTTAGTGTCGGTACTCATTATCAGGAAAACAAGCAATTAAAGTAGGACTGGAAATGGTGGGGATGTGCTTTAAATTTAAATGAATGTGTTTAAAGTGCTTGTGTCCCAAGATGAGAGGGTGTAGTTCTCATACCTGACTGTAAAACTACTCCATGACATTTTTCTATGGTATTAAATTGGGCATATGTTAATCCTGTATTCCTGTGACACACTTATAACTGTCAGTCAACTCTAGTGCATATAACCTCTTTCTGGACCTTCCAGCAGGCGTACACCTTAACGATCTCTTCCTCTTTAGAGGGAGCCACCAAAGCACCAGTGGAAATGTCATCTCCAGTTTAAAAAAAAAAGAGAGAGAGGGAAATCTACTTGCATAGCCACACAGAGACACATGCAGGAAATATGCAACTGAACTCATGGGAGCCATGTTTTTCTTCTTTTTCTTTTTTAAATAAGAGCTTTCCATCAGCAGACAGGGTTTAAGAGCTGTCAGTAACGATGTGTGAGTAGAAGAACAGACACGATGCCTTCTTCTCCCAAACACACAACCCCCTAAGGAGTGACTGCAGAGCTTTTGAACATATGCTTAAGACAGACTGAAGACAGGAGGGGGAGGGGAGAAGAAAACCAAGTACCTTGTACCTCGCAACAAAATGCACTTTTACAATCCATCAACAACAATACAAAATGTAAAGTTTTGGGTATATTTAGGTGTCAGTCATCAACCACACTCATTGAAACAGTTTGACTCATCTGCACTAATTACAAGTTGTGCATGGCATGATTCATTTTACTTTTTGTCTCCTTCACCCCCTATATTGTCCTTATTGTCAGAACAATAACGTACAAAAACCTACTTTCTCATAAAATCTAGAGCCGGGCTGAAAAGTGGTGAATTGGCGCTTCACCACTTTGGTTTTTAAGAGGCCACTCAAGAAGACAATGAAGGCTTTGTTCCAGGCATCGCCGCATTCAAGTTTCACTCTGCGAATATTAAATGTAGAATTGGATGAGATGTGCCTGATGGGAATTTAATGAAAGGCTTGAGAGGGGAGTGTTGAGTTATGCGCGAGTCTCGAGTGGGAAGGGGATTCTCTGTTACAGCAAAATACAAAACTATCTGATCGGATGGGAACACTTTGTGTTGGTTTTCCAGGAGGATTACATTACAGGTCAGTTTTAACTTAAGGAAATGGGTTCGATGCTTCGGGATGGTGGTTATTGATATCCGTCAGCTAAATATTTACATGTTGCATACCTCTAGAAGTATTAACATGATGTATGACTTCTCTGTGAGGGCTGAGGCCAGACAAGAATGCTGCCTGAAAGCAGTTTTGTGTTTTCTGGTCTGCACTCAGCTATGCTGGCGTTCAGCATTAACAAGAATAAAATGTCGGACTGTAATGTTTTCATGGGAATCTGTTGAGCACGCTCTAACTTTAAGAGTGTACACTTTGTCACTTTTGTCCTGCCTACAATAATGCAATTACAAGAGTTTGTATTGTCACGTGATTTTGAAGGAAATTAAAGCAGATGCCGAGATATTGGACTTTTAGTCCCCAGTTTGGGTTTTAATTCAAAACTACTGGATCCTACAATTATCTTAATGCAGCTTGATATCTTTTTTTATTAGTTTGTAACGCAAGCTTTCGGGATTTCACTGGTTATAGACAGGGCCATTCACGTTATCTCCGCCAGCCACCGTAGTTGTCCTTGGCACACAGCAGAAATTTCAGTTGGTTGCACTCCGCAACCTCACCGCTAGATGGCGACGAATCCTACACACTGCTCCTTTTATAGCAACAAACGTTTTTAATGTGGATGTTGTCTCGCATAGCCCGACCTATGTCCACACTGTTATGGCGCTTGAGAAAGGTCCGTCGGGGTACTTCAAAATTCCGGACTAAAGGGAGGTGTTAAGCCTAGGATGCAGTGACGGTGCCCTTTCAAGATGGATAGCGCAAGAAGCGGAAGTGGGCAATGGCAGGCTTATAAGCACAGTGTATACATCTTGTGAGTCAGACTGACGCGGATGTAAATACTGTGGTTTTGTCTGCTGTGGAGTCCCTGGCGACAAACAGGAAACTACCATAATGCAGATAAAACAACCAACAGAAACACATTTTTTTTCGTTACTGTTTGAGTGAAACACGAGCGCTTTTCACCAACATGACAACATGGTCTTGTCTTTCAGACAGTGTTAATACTCTGCAGACCCTGAATAAACAGCGCAGTGTCATCTTCAGAAATCTAAAGATGAATATAAAAAAAAATGCCAATGATGAAACTTGAAACAGCCCTCAGTGTTAAGTGCCCTCATTTGAAGATGAACGAGTCTTCTCTTTGATGGGATCTATCCATTCATGCAAAGGAAAAACCTGAACTTGTCTCCATTCATTAAACAAAGCTCTCTAATCCTTAAATACCGCTTTTGCATGTCACGAGGCCAAAGAAAGCAATCTTCACGCGTAGCGTCCGTCTGCCGTTTTAATACATTTATTTTCATTCGGGTCAAATGTGTTTTCTCAATGAGGGGTCAGTTGAGGTTAATCGATGCACCTGTTTGGTCCTCTGCACAGGTCCGATTCCCACATCATTCATTTGAATGAAATGTGCACCTCACCGTGTCTCTCCCGTTCAGTCGCTCTTCAAAGGGAGTTTATTCCAGTGAAGTCTCACATGTCTTGTTCTATTTTTAAGGCCCCCGGTTTATCTGGTTGGAGAACAGTTCGGATCCAACGGTCGAGGCCACTGATCTGAGTCATACTGTACTGTCTGTAATGAGGTTACTCATCCAGAAACGTAGCTCACCGCAGCGAAGGTTATCAACGCTGTCTTTGTGGAACATCGTAACGCTTGAATGCGGATCTGACTCATGAGGAGACACTTTGTTGTGGATGCAAATGGCAAAACTGTCGCTCTGATACACAAGGGGCATAAATAACGATTGCTCCTGGCCGGCTCACCCGTAACCCCGAGAATGAAATCATTGGGAAATAATGCCGATGAAACTTTTCTGACTCTGACTTGTTCTGCCGCTTGCCGTTGCATGTGTGTCGCCAGTTCTTGTTGCTACGCCCGTGTGGTTGCTTCTGCTACAGTTTGTCTACTCTTAGAGAGCAGCAGATGGCCCAGGGCTTGGCATTGTCACAGTGCCCGGGAGACATTTTTGGCTGCAGACCTGGAAGTATGTCATTAGAGCTAATCTGCGTTCTGTCATTCAAGAGGCTACTGATGCAATCGGGGCTCAATGTAATACGAGTTGAGTGCAGGGTCGGCCAAATGACACTATGCAACCATTTGCAAACATCTCACAGGCGAAAGATAAATCGATCCAAATACCGGGGGATTATTGTATCACTTTCCGAGACACTGTGTTTCTGTGTCGGGTTTCTTGAGGACGGCGACGCTGCACAGGATCAGCTTTAGTCCACCGGGATGCGGCATTAACAGGAGGTTCAGGTTACAGCGTGGATTAAACCATGTCATTGTTTTCTACTGATGGTGGGGGGGAGTTTCCTATTCCTCCAAGATTTTAGCAATGGATTTGTTGAGTTTTAGCCAAGCCACATGTGGCATCACATCCCTGTTCATCTATGACTGTTGAAGGTGTGGTTCCCTCCTCATGGTCCAAAATTGTAGCTTGGAGAAGGGAAAAAAGGGGTATTGAGTTCAGAGAGGTTCAGCTGACTGTTTCTTTTTTTTTCTTTTTTAAGGTGCAACATACAGGATTCAGAGCATTAGGCCTGAGCGATGTGGCCAATATCCTCTATCACGCTATAGGTCATTTCATAAGTCGATAACTATATATATCGCTGTATAGCATGTTTTCTGGTAATTCGATAAATACATAGTTTTATGAAATGACCACATTCACACTCGTAATAGTTTTTAGTTTTGATTTTGTTTCTCATTTAATTAAAAATTTAGTGCAAAATAATCAGATTTGTCAGTGCTTGTTTTTGTGTATCGCGATATCCCAATATATGATTTTATCCCGATATGATTCCATTAAAAGACAAATTTTCATATTGAATCATCGCCCAGCATTATTTAGCAGCTGTAAGCTGTTAGCATCGTTAGCTGTGAGCCGGCGGATCAGCCGACACGACGTTGAGAGCCAATCGAAATGCTCCCAATCTGGTATTTACGCAGCACCTTTAATTCAGTTCAACCACCTCTTGTTTCATTAAGAGGTGGTTGAACTGAATCTTTTGATACCATCAACTGTCAACCTCCCCCATGGTGTAAATGTGTGTTTCTGCTTCCTGTGAGACATGTGGTCCCAGTTGTGCCCTCAAATTAAAAGCACCCACAGTGATTATTATCAACACCTTTCCCAGGACAAAGTCACAGAGAGCCAAAGAGGGCCTTTTCTTTGTTTCTTTGTGGACAGTCTGTGCGTCATAGCTGCAGGAAAAGCTGGAAAATGTATCCTCTTAGCGAGATCACATGCCTCTCTACCTCCGTCTCACACTCTCCGTCTTATCTGAGGGCCCAGGAAAAAGCTGTCATTTGTACTGCATTCAAATCCTTACCAAAAACATATTACAGGCAGGCTGTCTCTGCGATACGACAGACAAATCAAAAGCACAAAGGCTTCTATGTTCTTCAGCAAAAATAGCTTTCAGATGCTGGAGCCTTGAACTCTCGCTGTTATATGAGAAAACATAATCGGCCCAAAACAGAGCCTGAATCCATCGCAGCTGCAGTATACCGTACCAGTACATAGTCAGGACGACTGTCGGCTTCAGGTGTGTGTGAGTGTGTGTGTGTGGGTCTGTGGTTTGTAGAGTGTGTGACTGCAAACCTCACACAGACAGTACCACAAGTTTCTGAAACGCAGCACAGGAAATGTTGTCTCCTCCTACATTGAGAGAAGAGGTCGCTGCTGCAAGCACATACTAGCACATTTGGCAGAGCGGAGTTGTGTTGCAGAGGTGCCTTGGCACACACGGCCTTCGTCTTCTACACAACCATCTCCTTAAAGCGAGGTATAAGCTGCGATTTGTTAGTTGGCAGCGCTTTCTCCCCACAAGGTCTGTTCATTTTGTCTTCCTAATTCTTTTAAGAGCTCCAACTCTAATTTCCAGATGTTCTGTTTCACTTTGATCACAACTTCTACATCATGCATTTCTTTAAAAAAAAAAAAAAAAAAAAAAAAAAGCCAGAATTACTCTTGAAGGCTTGTGCTACCAACATGAGGTAGTTGCTAATCGAAAAAGGTATGCAACATTAGTGAGCAGATGTGTGTCTCTTCCCATGTGATTTACTGGTGAGTTTTACAGTTTGCTGCTTGCACTGGACCACTGGGAAAACAATTCTGAGCTGAAGCGTGATGGGAAAGTTTATCTTGTTATGTTATGTGTGCATGCACATCTGCACATGTGTCTCCCTGCTGTTGGGTTTTTGGCGGACAGTGCAAATGACAGATTAACAACTTCTCAGTGTTGTCTTGTACAAAGGCGGGCACTCATGAATGTGAAGTTAAAGCCTGGTGTATCCTGTTTCACACAGGAAATGAACTGCTCAGATCAGTATCCTCGCACCGAGCTTTTTGTACTCGGCAGTTAACATGATGTCACATGCGGTATCTTTTTTCAGTCCCATTGTACTACTAATTTGTACACTTCACTGCTTAATCTAACTTCATGCATGTGCATTGTATAGATACCATGTAAATCTATCTCATTAATTCATATATTTTTATTTCCCTGTATTTTCTCTTCAACCTGCATCCCTCAGGGTCAGAGGTCAGTCTGAGCCACAGCAACATGTCGGAGTCCGCCAAGCCCCACCACCCTAACCCGCAAGGAAAGGGGGAGAAGAGCCATGGCAGCGACTTCAGCTACGTGGGCATCGATGCCATCCTGGAGCAGATGAGGAGGAAGGCCATGAAGCAGGGCTTCGAGCTCAACATCATGGTTGTGGGTGAGTCCGACGTTCACTCATTTAATTCAACGTTTCGAGTCCCAGTGAGACGGAAGTTAGAGCGTCTAGTGTCTGTGCTACAAGTTGCACATTGATTGATGGATGGATGTCATATTATTGGTTGAAATTGGTTGGTTCTCTCTTACGTGAGCCCTCGTCATATTTTGTTTTACAGGAAGAAAAGATGATTGGATTTTGATATAACAATACAAATAAATTGATTATTTTAGTAAAAAAAAATGTTTGCATATATTGTTAAATAGTGGAAATGTGATCTAACAAGGTGAGAAAAACATTTTTCATTTAATCTCGACTTACGAAAACAGTCTAAAAGTTTCATTGTTCACCTGCAACTTGGAGAACATATACACACTTAAAACACACAAAAAACCACCCAGAACAAAAGCCACATGTGCAGGATATTTGCTCTCGTGTTCCAATTTGGAAAAAGAAAATCTCAATGTCGAGTCGCTTCAGAGAGCGTTCAATCCCCTTGACTTTTACTTCCTTTTGGAGTGTTATTTTGTGTTGTTAACCCTGACCTTGTCTCCCTCAAATTACGATCATATGCTACTAATTTGCAGTTTCAAATCACTTATTTATGCTTCAGTTGCAATGAGTAATTCTTAAACTTCAATTTGAAAACATGTGCTATTAATGCTAAACAATGGCATATAAAAGATTTTCTATGAGAATTATGGTCACCATAATGTATGACTATGACTATACTGTGGCATGATGTCAAGATTAGCTTAACTGCTCCCATCCAGCCTGGCCTTGAGCTTGATTCATGTTCGATTTAAAGTCTAAACTGACACAGATGTGTCCGAGAAGACTCGAGGCTGTAATTCCTTCCAAATGTTTGCAACAGTTATTGTCTCGGTACTGAATTCAGCGAAAAGATAAGAAGGTGACCATCTCAAACATTTCCAACGTCTGCAGTACCGACACAAAATGCAAAACACCGCATATAAACAGGATGTCGTACACAGCATGCTTAGTTTGCAGATTCTCTGACATAGAAAACACATTTCCATTCTGTTTCTTCATTACATTCACCATAAAAATTCTCCTCAGCTGTTGTCCGATGAAGGAAAAGAGAAAAGAAATCGTAAACACGTGTGTGGTTCTACTGCAGTTTGTTAGTGAAGAGTCATGGTGCCTTCCAGAATTTGCTCTCATATTTGTGTGTCAATGATGTAACACACACACGCTTGAGCGCACTACAGGGTGCAGTCAGGCTGAGAAAGTGGCGCAATGATGGAGATTACTCTGACAAGTTGGAGCTCACGTATCAGTGCCTTAGAGAGCAGCGCCACGCCACCAGTTATTGTAGATCCCCACATCAAGTCTGTGCGCACACACACACACACACACACACACACACACACACAATTATCCATGAATGCACCGGTGTACGTGCATGCAGCAAGGGGCGACCTCCGGGTCTGAATAGTGAAGCCAATGCAGAAGGGCCTTCAACTTGCATTCTTTCTAATGGCCATTCTTCTGCTTTCAAAAAGAAGTCTGGTTGTATAGAAGTCTATGAGAAAATGACCCTACTTCTCACTTGATTTATTACCTCAGTAAACATTGTAAACATGCGTTTTTGGTCTCAATTGACGGTTTCAAGTCTTCTTCAATACAGCATGATGTTCATTTAGTAAATTATGGTCCATTTAGAGTCAAATAGACCATAAAGCAGGGTATGCTTTAGGGCGTGGCTACTCTGTGATTGACAGGTGGCTACCACCGTGTTGTCCGGTCTGTTTTCATCTGACGACTTCAACCCTTTCACAGCCTGTTTTCAGTTCATGAAAGTTAATTGTAACATTTTTGGTCGCCTAAAAATGTCTTATTCAGCGTCCGGTTGTACTTAGCTCCACCCTCTCGTGTCACTTATGGTCGCAAAAGAACAAGATGGCTACAGCCAAAAACCAAGATGGGGAGGTCCAAAATGCCGAACCCAAGGCTTCAAAACATCAGTCCACAAACCAATGGGCAACATCACGGTGACTTCTTATACACGTGTAGTCTCTATGGCATGCAGGTAGGACCGAATGTTGCCGTCAGAGAAAGGAATGTCAGGTTATCACACACTGAGATGCAGATTACTCAACAAGAATAAGTGTTGAAAAGCGTCAGCTACGAGTTATAAGCCTTGGTCTTTGTGTTTGGATCATATTGGCATGGCGGTAGTTATAGAATGAAGTTCGTCTGATTTCATGCCCCGCGGCGCAGAGTTTTGTGCACGGGCGATGTGACTCTAAGATACGCACTTTATGTTGATGCACATTTCTACAGAACTTGTAGGACTCCACTTGTAGGGCTCCGACACCTCGAGCATGAATTCAATTTGTGTCGTGAGATGATCTAATAATGTGTGTAATGATACCCTCACACTCTGCACCCCGGAGTAGAATACATACAAAAGTTCACAATAGAAAAGAACAGTAGACATTCGTGAAGGGATTTTTGTTTGCAGGACGGAGCTTTGACGTTTAGAACTACAGCAACGTATCAAGTTCTGCTAGGTAATGCGTTGGCAGATACTTGACTAACACCTCATTGGAGTCCGGTTTCTCACTGTAAGGCCAGTATTGACTTGCTTTTTAGCGCTGGGTCTATACAATCCTGATGAAAATGTCTCAGTCCACTTAGCTTATTAGATGTTTGACTTTCTTTTTGCCACATTCTAAGCCGCTGGGGTTGCATTCGTGAACTAAGAATAAAGAATGCCAGGGTAACAGGATGGAAATAAAAAAACTAGGGCATCTTTCGGAGTCTAACAAAGTTTCTGTTAGCCAACCGAGTTGTCCCTCTGGTGTCGAGCGAGTTACGTGAAAGGTTACAGCAGCCGTGGTCGATTGTGGTCTCTATGAGATGCATTTGCCTAATCCCTGCCCTTCAGCCAGCTGACCTTTATGATTTCCACCACGCAGAGAGGGCAGCCAAGGTGTCTCTGTGTGTGTGTGTGTGTGTGTGTGTGTGTGTGTGTGT